CTGTTAACCAATTCATCAGCTCCATCATCTGGGCCATGGCATCCTGGTTGGCCTTCGGCGAGCCTCCTTGCCTTAGTGAGCCCTTTCCTCCCACAACGGCCGATCGTTTGGCGACCGCTTTAATCGTTGGCCTAATTGCTGCCTCCTTCCATCCGTCCTCTCTAAGCATTTGTGTAATTTCGCGCAGGATCTCTTTATCTGATACTCCTGCCTGGTTCTTGGCAGCAGCGTACGCCGCCAGCTCTTCCACATTCAAGTTTGGAACGTTAATCTCCATTGCCTAATTCGTTTTGGACGTCTCGTTCTTTGCCTGCTAATATGCAGGGCTTCTGGTCGCTCTTCGATCCGCTCGCGCAGTCCTTGACTGCGGCCTACTCCTCGTTGGTGAGGACTAGTAGGGCTTACCTTCGGCCGTACTTCTCTTCTAGCTAGTTCTAAACAGCGTTTGGCTGCTGTCGTGTCGCGTCCTTAGGAAGACTCGCGTCTTGCCGTCTCGCTCGTGGGATCTCGTCTCTGATTGAGAGTAATCGCACGGCCTGCACCCCGTCCGATAGAGGATTGACAGGACTTCTCACTACAACGTCCGCTTCTAGCTAACTGTACGCTAGGCCCGAGTGGCCTTTAGGTAGTTTATCACGCGACGTTGCGCCTACGGCTCGGCTTTCCAAGACACGGTAGGACTTCCTAGACAGGTCCCAGGCGACTAAATCGCCTACTGTCTCTCACGGCTGAACTTCCTGCGAAGCTCTGCCCTAGGTGTACTGTCTTGCGACGGTCTACCTTCTCGCTGCACTAAAGGCCTTTCGTACCTATTGCAGCACTAACTCCGTGTTACTAGCTCACACTAACAACACGCTCTAAAACTTAGTTAGAAGACAGTCCGCCTAAGGCTTATGTCTAATTGGGATCAAATACAAAATGTAAGGGGCTGCGCTCTAGGGAGCAATCGCGAGGTATACAAGAGGTTGTATTCGATAAGGAGCTATCTACTCTGCTTACGTGGTGTTTATTTACTTATTAGAGAAAGGTTATGCCGGAGTATCTAAGCGCGTTGTCTGAGCGCTGCTCGGTCTGAACGTAGTTCAGATGGTGCGCGCGCAGCTTGGCCCGAGATTCCATCGAGGAGCTATCCAAAGGGCGTTCAGCCCGTTACACTAACCTAGCTAAAAACAACTCTACTAGGCAAACTAGTTTACTAGACCTTATAGAAGTCTTTAGAGACTTTATAGAGAATAGCAAAGTAAACAAGAAAAACTCTACAATTCTAGGAGACTAAATCTCCTTTCTATCTAACGTCTCTAAAGAACTAAGAGAGAAAGTTAGACGCCTTGAAAAACTAAATACCCCGCCCACCTAACTGTTAAGAGTATGAATCTTAAGTGGAAGTAATATAAGACTTCTGGTGTTAAAACTCTTCTTGGGTTAGTTTTCGCGGATGAAGCAACAGGGTGATATGAACAGTGTCTCTGCAAGTATAATGTCTGTATTGTACTTGTACTCGTAACTTAAGTTGAACACATCGAGCCATAAGGGTTCGATGCCTATTCCTATATACCTGTATGTTCCATATGTTCCATATGGTTTCATGATGTTCCGTGCGTGGAACTTTGCGCAACAACGTGGAACATGCGGAACACACGTGACTTGTTTCGTGGTGGCGTTCCGCCAAGCGTATGGAACGTGGGGTCCGCACTTGCGTCATTGGCTACTTTGCCATGGTCAATAAAAGAGGTCTTGACATGGGCTGCTTCCTTCCTTCTTTCCATATCTTGCGCTATGTCCCTTCCTCAGGTTCGTAACACTATCCTCCCCTTCCTGGCTTCATGTCCTCATGAGCTAACTGTCATGGTTTCCAGAACTACTGCTTATCGTTATTCCGTCGGTGACCGAATTAACCAAACTAGTATTATCGCGATGGTGTCCTGTCAGTACTGCGCAAAGAAGAATTTAGAATGCCGAATGTCGTCGTTAAAAAAGGAGTGTAGGAATTGTTATCGTAATGGTGTCGAGTCGTGCGTGCCGGTGGAGATTCCGGTTCCGAATTTCGAAAAATTGGATCAAGAAATTGCACGCCTTGATCAGCAAGAGTCTGAAGCGGATGCAGCGGAGGCTGCAGCTCTAGAGGCGCTAGTAGCGGCTCGTCGCAAGAAAGATCGTCTTCGTCAACAAAGGAAAATCCTAAAGCGTCGTGAACAAAAGTGGGTTGACGATGCAGGCAAGTTTGTGGATGACATCGAGGCCTTGGAGGCAATGGAGTGGGCGAATAAGGAGGTAGCGACCTTGGAGGGTGGTCTTATGCCTGGTACTCCTGCTTTGGATTGGAGTGTCTTTATGCCTACTTTCCTCGAGGGCGATCCTGGGTTTGCTGAAGCTGTTGGTGATACTGTGCCAGTTTCTGGTGGCAGTTCGTAAGGTTGGTTCTAGGTTCCCATGTGTTTTCGCTGTTGGGGTATCCTAACCATTTGATTAGGTATTCCATTCCTTGGTTCGTCGCGCGGTGTGCGAGAATTTCCTCGATTTCGAATTCGTTTTCTTCTTCAGGTTCGTAGTGAAATGTTTTTTGTAGTGGCGTTTCGGGGTCTGCTAGTTCTAATAGGCTGATATAGAATCTTGGGTGTATCTTCGCATCTGGTGGTAGATCGAGTGTGTATGTTACTAGTCCTTTCTAATCGAGAATCAAAAATGGTCCAACCTTGGTGTGATCTAGTCCTTTGCTTAGTCGTTTTGTTCGAAGATTTTTTGTGAGTAGGTATACTCTATCCCCCTTCTTTAGCTAAGGTGCCATTTTTCGTTTCTTATTGACATATAAAATGCTCTATCGCTAAGCTTTCTCGAGTGCTTCTCGGAGTTCTTCGTGTGTTTTCTTCAGTTCTTCAGCTGTGACTATAGCTGCTTCTGTTTTCTAACTTAGATATGTTCTAGTAAAGAGATTTAGGTGTCTCCCGTGGTTTGCGTAAAACGGTGTTTTTCCTGTTAATTCCGATACTTTGTTGTTGTAGGCCATCTGTGCCATGGGTAGTAATTATACCCAATTGTCTTGCTGATAGTTGACATAGATCCTGAGGTATGTTTTCATGGTTCTGTTCGTTCTTTCTGTTTGTCCGTCCGTTTATAGGTGATACGCTGTTGATAGCTTACGCTTCGTGCCTATCGCAGCTAGTAGTGTCATCCAAAAGTTTAATATAAAGAGCTTGTCTCTGTCACTAATAATTGTCTTTGGTATTCCGTAGTGTCGAATGATTCTGTCGTTAATGATATGTGCAAGATCCACTGCTGTATAGTTCTTTCTAAATAGTATGTACTCGGCTTGTTTAGTGAACCTGTCCACTACAACTAGTATCGCGTCGTATGCGACCTTGGTTGCAGGGTCTCTTGAGACTGGTAGGCCTGTAACAAAGTCCATGGAGATGTCTGCCCACGGTTCTTGTGGTAGCTCTTGAGCTTGCATTTCTCCGTAAGGTGCATGAGTACTATGCTTGTTCTTCTTGCAGTCTTCGCATTTGGCGATGTAAGATGCGATCTTGTCTTTCATTCCTCTAAACTCGTAGTTCCTTTGGATTAGTTCCATTATTCTAGTAATTCCTAGGTGTCCGTGTACTAGATCGTCATAGTGTTGCCTTATAATTGCCTTTTGCAATTCTTCAGGTACTTCGTTCCTAATAGTCATGATGTTGTTAATATCGTGTGCAGGTCCCATTATCCCGTCTTGGTTTATCTTTAGTATTGGTCTGCTAACTGTTATTTTAGTTCCTGCGACGTCGTGTCGTCAGCTAAGAGCGTCGGCTCTTCCGTTTTCTTTTCCTGGGGTGTAGACAATCTTGAACTTGTATTGTCCTAATAGTTCAGCCCATCGGGTCTGTCTTCGATTGAGTACCTTCGTCGTAGTGAAGTGTACTAGGTTCTTGTGATCCGTGTAGATAGTGAGTTCTAAGCAGCTTTCTGCATATATTCTCCAGTGTTGTAGGCATGCTACTATCGCGAGTAGTTCCTTGTCGTGTACATCGTAGCGTTCTTCTAGTCCTAAGAACTTTCTTGAGTAATATGCTACTGGGTGCCATTTGCCGTCCATAAGTATGCTAGCACATCCTCCTAGAGCTAGGTCTAAGGCGTCTGTTTCAAATTTCGTTGGTAATCCTGGAATAAATATCCTAAAGCATGGTGGCGTAATGCATGCTTTCTTAAGCTTCTGAAATGCTTCTTCTGTTCTGTCGTCCCAATTCCATGGGGTATCCTTTCTGGTAAGTCGCGTTAGTGGTATCGCGATCTCTAAGAAGTCCTTGATAAACTACCTGTTGAAGTTCACAAATCCTAAGAAGGATTGGATGTCTGTGACTGTTTTTGGTGTTGGCCAGTTCTTGATAACTTCGATCTTTTCGTCGCTCATCTATACTCCATCAATTCCTACTACGTAACCTAGGAAGTTGACCTTAGTCCTGTGGAATTCACACTTCTCTGGTTTGAGTCGAAGGCTAAACTCGTCAAGGGCCCTTAGTACCAACTTAACGTGCTAAGTGTGGTCCTTTTCATTCTCGGAGTAGATTAGGATATCGTCTAGGTATGCGATAACAAAGATGTCTAGGTATTCTCTCAACACGTTGTTGATGAGTTCCTGAAACGTTGCTAGGGCGTTCGTGAGCCCAAACGGCATGACGGTGTATTCGTAGTGTCCGTATCGTGTCCTAAAAGCCGTTTTCCATTCTTCACCTTTCGCGATTCTAATAAGGTGGTATCCATCTCGGAGATCTAATGCCGTGAAGATCTTTGCTCGAGATAATCGATCCCTAAGCTCGTGTATGTTAGGTAACGGGTATCGATTCTTGACCGTAATGTCATTCAGCTTGCGGTAGTCGACGCATAGTCTGAGTTTGCCGTCCTTCTTTGGTACGAACATAATTGGGTAACCTGCCGGTGAGGTTGACGGTCGTATGTAGCCTTTTGCTTGGGCTTTCCTAATGTATTCTCTGAGCGTTTCTAGCTCTTTTTCCGATAATCCGTATATTGGGCCAAAAGTCGGTTGCTTTCCTTCCTGTAGGACGATCCTATGGTCCCAGGGTTGATGCTTTGGTAACGCTTGGTCGTCTACCACTTCCTGAAATAAATATTCGAATTCTTTGTACTGTTCAGGGATCTCCGGAGTTGCGCTATTCTCCTGTACTCTAGCTTCGTGATCCGTTGGCCTAGTTTCGGTATCTGCTGAGTCGACCTTCCTACGCTGGGAACTAGTCTTCGTCGAGTTCGCTTTTCTCTCTGCGATATTGCACTGCTTGGCAATGTTACTCTTATCTACCATCGAACTCTGCCGATGCGTAGGCTGGCTTGCGGGTGCGTCCGTTCCGCAGCACTCAAATTGGAACACCTTCGACTTCCAGTCGATCCGCGGGTTGTGTTCTCGTAGCCATGGGAGTCCTAATATGATGTCGTGGGTAGCTAGTCCAAAGACGTCTAGGTCTATCTTCTCCTTATGCTCTTGGATGCTGAGTGTCACTTGTCTGACCTCGTGTGTTATTCTTTCTTCATTCGGCATTGGTTCGCCGTTGGCAACATGTAGTAGGTATGGCTGTTGTTTCCGTAGCTGGGTAAGTCCGGCTTCCCTAACTGCGTGCGCTGAAACGTAATTCGCCTGTGATCCTGAGTCCACTAGTGCCTACATCCGTACGTTGTTAAGCTCTACTGCGAGCTTTATCAGTCCTAGGGGTTCTATTGCGTTGATTGCCCTGGCTAGGCCCTGCCTTCGTGGCGCTGGCCTAAAAAAGACTTTGCAAATCCGTGGTAGTTCTTTTCTTTCCTGTGTAAATCGCACTCATTCTTGAGGCATGTGTGCCAGTTAGGTCGTCGGCACTCGTACGCGTAGTCGTCTGCGTACTCTACCCGGTATACCATTTGCATCTATATGACCTCCTGTGGGTCTTCATGTCCTAGGAAGTATGCCTTTTCCCTCTTATCCCATAGATGTTTTGGACATGTGTCATCTACGCATTCGAACCAGTGGTATTTGCACTTGGGGTGTCCCTTGATAGTTTTAGGGCTCCATCCTAAGTATTGTTTTTCGGAGTAGTGGGCTGGACAGTATTCGTGTGTGCATGCGGTCCATGATAGCTTAGCGTGGTGGGCATTGCGCGCGTCGTACCAGTACCAGGTGTTGATGACTTGTTGCGCCTGCTGAGATTGTCGCCATGATTCTTGTGCCCTCTGTGCCTATTGGAGTTTACTTAGGTTGTCGTGTTGTACAAGATCCCATCAGGGTTCTTCTTGTGCTGGTTCAAGCTCTGCTGGCTTTGGCGTAGGTGGTCGGTTCTTTTCCTTGAATCGGACCATCTTCTCGTGTTTCGTAGTGGCCGCGGGAAACTCCTGTTCCTCTGCTGGCGTCTCGTATTCCTCATCGCTTAGCGGGTTTCCTTCCTCGCTACGTGGGTTTTCTTCCTCATCGCTGCTTTCTGCAGTCGTGAGCATCAAGTCCTCAAGTCCTAAGATAGTTTCTTCGTCGTGTGGATTGTACTTGACTTAGGCTTGGGTGATAACGTTCCATGACTCGCCGTCGTCTAGGCCAGAGTCCTTGTGGATAACGTTCAACTGTCGGGTGACTTTGTTCTTGTTTCGACAGTCCCGTGCCATGTGACCTTCCTTGCCACAGGCATAGCAAGTGATACTCTTGCTATGCTGACCCTTAGGTCCTTCCTTAGGCTTAGCCCTTCTAAACCTATTTCCTTTTATGATATTGTCGAGGTGCATAGGTTGCGCACCGTATCCATGGTAAGATCCTAGAGTTCGGGGTGTATAGCTTCGCTGCCGTCCTATGTTAGGGGTTGAACGTCGAGGTTGTTGTTGTCGTGATCGATCGTTCCTATCCTCCTTATAGGATTGTCCGTTGAAGAGTCGTTCTTCAAGTGCCAGTTCGTACAGTTCGTTGTCAAGTCGAACGGCTTCTTTTGTGAGTTCTTCCAGAGTGTCGATGTTGGCTCCACTTCTCATAAGTTCCCTGCGTACCATTGGCTTCAGGCCTTGTCGGTACATGCGCATCAGTGCATTGTTGTCCCATCCAATGATTGTCGAGTATTGTTGGAACATCGTGGTGTATTCGGCGGCAGATCTTGTTTGCTTAAGTGACTGAATCTTTTGTTCTACGATAACCAATTCCTTAAAGGGTGAGAAGTTTTGTCGTAATTTTTCCTTGAATAGGTCCCAATCGTGCACCAGTCGTGTATTGTCTCCGTCGGTAGTGCTCGTATCCATGTATCGTTTGATGATAGGGGTGACCCATTTTTTAGCGTCTCCTTAGAAGAAAGTAGTAGCCCAGACAACCTTGTCGTTGTCTTCAATGCTATCTCCCGCGAGGTGAAAGTATCGATCGACCTAGAGGATCCATGTTTCCAGTTTGTAGCGTTCGCCGTGGTAAAGGTCTGGTTTGTTAGAATTCTTGATCATGCCTCCAGTCTGGGAAGACTCCGGTGTGTTCATAACAATGTCGCTCATCGTGAGGGTGTTCAAAGTGTTAAGAGTATGAATCTTAAGTGGAAGTAATATAAGACTTCTGGTGTTAAAACTCTTCTTGGGTTAGTTTTCGCGGATGAAGCAACAGGGTGATATGAACAGTGTCTCTGCAAGTATAATGTCTGTATTATACTTGTACTCGTAACTTAAGTTAAACACATCGAGCCATAAGGGTTCAATGCCTATTCCTATATACCTGTATGTTCCATATGTTCTATATGGTTTCATGATGTTCCGTGCGTGGAACTTTGCGCAACAACGTGGAACATGCGGAACACACGTGACTTGTTTCGTGGTGGCGTTCCGCCAAGCGTATGGAACGTGGGGTCCGCACTTGCGTCATTGGCTACTTTGCCATGGTCAATGAAAGAGGTCTTGACATGGGCTGCTTCCTTCCTTCTTTCCATATCTTGCGCTATGTCCCTTCCTCAGGTTCGTAACACTAACCTTAAGCTTAGCCCCCTAGCTCCTACGCAATAGTAGTAGCTAGTAATTAAGAACAACCTTAGATATATATCTAAAAAAAACTAAAAACATATAGAAAAAAAACACCTAAAAAGATAACTAAAAAAAGACTACTAGCTTATTAGATCGCTAAATTGTTCTAGTTAGCGATATACCTACTATATTTAACGCTCTAAAAATTAGAAACGCCTTTAACAAAGCCTTTACAACAAAGGGAGGAGTACAATCCCTAGTAGTAGCCTTAGTAACACCTTTAGCAAAAGGCAATAAAATAGTTACTACCACCCTAGCTTTTTTAGCAAAATGTTACACGGGGGTCGGCTATACTTCTCTAGTCTTGGTCCAGGTTAGGGCGAGTATGTAACGATGTTACAACTTCGCCAAGTATTGAGCCAATCCCAGAGCCGGATCGGAGGAAGTACCTGCCGCCCTTCATCAGCCATTCGCCCG